AATATTCCACTGTGTGTAATTTATTCGCAATATTTTCAATGGATCTCTAGCTGTTCCATTATGTTAGACAGGCGTATTGCCCAGCAGGTTGGATGGAGATAGTATGCTTATTTTTACAACTTCGAATGAAAAAAAAAAAGTGACTCTAACAAACACGACCACAATAATAAGTACACACAAACATGCTACATATGCAGGATTTCATGTTCTCACAGCGGTGGGTACGAAGAGTTCTGTCTTCTGGGATAACACAGCACAGTCCGTTAAAAGTCGACAGACGTCCCAGAGGAAGCTCTACTTGCCAACTGTTTTCACGCTGGTTTCTTGCTTGGCTCATTCTTCGACCCTGAAGGTAGAAGCGACATGTTTCTCCGAAACGTCGGTTCACTTTCAACGGACTACACGGCGTTAGGAACGCCACTGTGGTCTAGTGGTCAGAGTTCCTACCGACAGATCCAGAGGTGTCGTCGGGTTTGATTCCCGGCGCTACCAGAATTTTTTCTGAGAAGTAGTGGGTCTGGAACGGGGTCCACTCAGCCTCATAAGGATAACTGAGCGGCTATTTCAAGGAAATGGGGGGTTCCAGTCTAGAAAACCGAAATTAACTGCCGTGGGGATTCGTTTCGCTGACCACGCGACACCATCTATCCGCAAAAGTTGTCACTAAACTTCGCCAAGCGGCGGTAGCTCGGTCGGTATAGTTCGCTTGCGAACTAAAATCACGGAGTTAAGTTCATACACGGCGTTATATCCAAGAAAATAGACGTCTTCAAACATGCTGCATGTTATGGGTCTCTGACGTAACAACTAATACATCAGCACGCTTTAAATCTTTAGGCCTATGAAGACCTGTCGCGGATATTCCAAAACAAAATTCCACCCTCATACTTTTACGTATTTTCAAATTTGTTTTGACATTTTTCTTCATATTCTAGACTACTTTTCCTCGGAATCACGTCACCAGATATAGTTATCCAAGACTTTCAAGCTCCAAGTTCGTATATTAATCCCGTCAAAACTCTGGTTCCTACCTCACAGAAAATACCTTGATCTCCACTACAAAGAACAATCCGTTAACGATATTCAATGGAAGAAATAATGAAACACATGTTTACACCGTGTGAACGGTCAAACAAGATAAGTTAAAGTGTCCCTTTGCTTAATTAATTAAACACCACACCATGAAAACCATTCTTGACCTCGGCACTAGACAGAGGTTAGTGGTCAGCTTCATTCCGCGGCTACCTTAACCCCGGGGAACGATCACCCATTACCCAGTGCGTATGAGGCTGGGTGGGCCCCAGAGCCGATCTGGACACTTGAAAAACAGAAAAAATCTCTTGCCCCTGGCAGGAACCGAACGTCGGCTGTCCAGCCCCTAGCTCGTCGCTATACCTACTGAGCTATCCTTGATCAAATGAAGTGGTATATATAATTACCACTGTGCTTAAAGAGGTAAATCGCTTATAGCTCAGCTAACAACCTCTGCATCTGTGGATGACAGTCCAAGCGTTAATGCGTGACAGTATAAGTTCAATTTGATACTCCTCACGGCATGGGAAACTTTAGTTTGTGGAGTTGGCTGCGTTCGATACAAATAGACATGGCAACGTCGCGCAGCGAGGGAGTTGCTAGGGACCTTTAACCTGTAAAGGCTATACTATTTCTGGTTCAGCGATACGGTGCTCATTTGTTCCTGGGTCATTAGGCGATGATTATAAATACTGACCTGGAGGCGAGGGGCGAGTTAGGACTTCGCTTCTGCAGCTGACAAGGGCGTTTGAGGGCGACAGTGCGCCCTCAGAGAAGCATGATCTTGCGACCTCCCGTCCCTCCGTTTTCTGTTCAAAGAAACGCCCTTGCAACTGTCACGCGTATGTGGGACTACAGACGGGGATTGGGCTGGTAACTGGATTTATTGACCTCTTACGTATCGTAACTACAAGTAACCATAGCGCTATTGCTAATTCTGTCACTCTGCAGTTCAGTATAGGTTACGAGTAAGTCTTCCGGTAACGGCTTCCAAAGCTGGACGTTCTCCTTCCTCTGGGTTCGTGAACTGTCCCCTGCCTTAGCTACCGGCTTCTCACAGCAACAGCTCACAAGAACTGCACTGCAGCAGTCCTATAACTCACTCCACTCCACTCCACTGACTCCCAGGCTGGTGACCATCTCACACAAACCCTACTCTTCTCACTGCCGCCTCAAGACTATCTCGTAATCGCAGCTGCTACTCGTTATATAGCCTCGGCAGGGACCGCATAGAAAACATTTCTCCCAACAGTTATATTGTTGCATTATGTAGCCGTCGCAAGGACTGCGCAGGGAAAACTCTTTCTCAGTTACTCCACTGTTGTTTGTTATGAATCTGTTGCGGTCATTACCTAGCAACAGCCGTTGTTTACATAGCCATCAAATAGCAACAGCTGTTGTATAGCTGCTTATTTCACGGTCGTTGCCTAGCAACAGGTCTAGATGCCTCAATAGGAACAAAAACAAAAAGAGTACGAAACATAAAATCACATAACCGAAAAGCTGTCTTGGTTTTAAATCGTTTTATATTTTTAATTGTGAATGTCAAACGATGCAAGTATACCGTTATCGCCAAGTTCTGAACTGGCCGTTGTCACGCACTGACCACGCAGTCGCTGTTTGCGCCCATTTACTGGCTGCACTCCTGTCGTTTGGAGCTGGGATAGCTCAGTTGATATAGTGATTTGGAGGGGAGACCGAGGAATTGAGGTTCTGTTCTCGGCAGGTGCAAGAGAATGGTCTCCTTTCCGTAAAGCCCAGACTGGCCGTGAGGACCACACATCTTCCTATCCAATGGGTACATGGGTGCTTTCCCCGGGGGATAAAACGGCAGGGGCGTGAAACTGACAAACTCACTACTGTCTAGTGCCGAGGTTAAGAACAATGGAGCTGTAACTAACGCCACTCTCCCATACGTCTCAATGGCGAGGTGCTGAATTGATTAGGCCAAGCAATTATTCTACATTCACTTTTACTTCTGCGATCCACAAGCACAACGCGGAGTTTTGCATGCTAGTGACATCTGGAGTAATTATAAGAAGCTTGCTATAATATAGGGAGCGGAATTAGCTCAGTCGGTATGGCGACTGGCTACGAGGTGGATGACCCGGGTTCGATTCCTGGCATGGCAAGATTTTCCTCTTCTCCACAGCGTCCAGACCCAGTCTCCTATCCAATGGGTACCGGCGGCTGTTTTACTTGGGACAAAGCGGCCTGGGTGTGAAGCTGACCACTCACCTCCATCTAGTGCCGAGGTCAAGAATCTTGGGGCTATATACCTGCGCTCTCTAACACGTCTTCATGACGTAGTGCTTAATTAAGTAAGCACAGGAACAACTTTTACCTTCACCTTTTACTTTTTTATTATAACAGCCTAAAGGTCCGCAAATACGCTTGAGATATTCGGAAATGGTTTCGGAAAGTCTGAGGACGTGGTATTTACGCTTGCGCGGTGGCTGCCGTGGGCGGCTGTCACTTTGCTCATTCACAAAGCAGCTCTGGTAGGTAACAGGTTCCAGCATACGGTCGTGTGGGCAGGCATGAACACAGAGAGAACTTGATGCTTCAATGAGCGTAATCTCTTGCGCAGAACGCGATGCGCGTTAGCAACTCACAGGAGAGCCTAGCAATTCACTCCGTCCGTCTATACGCATGAATCGCTGAATGGATTATAATGAAATTTGATATTGGAGTATTTCGACAAAAATTATGGACACGTTCAAATTTTATGTTACACAGGGGAAGAATAACGAACATTTTACATGAAAACCTACATGTGTATCTGCTGGCATCGCGAGCGTAACTTGTCACAAGCCTGTCAAGGGTGAAACATGTTTTGAACAAAAATTACGGAGATTTACTCACGATTTACACCCAGCGGAGTTTATCAAGACAACCAAACAAAAACATCATTATGCGTATATTTTCGTAACCCACCCTAGGATTAGCGACATGTCTTACCCTCGATAACGAAACAAACATTCCTCCCACCTCAATTTTAAGGTAAGGTAAACTTTTCCCTATATTTTTCTAATTGAGCACTATGTCATGATGGCGTATTGGGGAGTGAATGTATACACTTCTTCTTGACCTCGGCACTAGTTAGGGGTGAGTTGTCAGTTTCACGCCTCGGCCGCTTTACCTCCGAGGAAAAAGCACCCGGAACCCATTGGATATGAGATTGGGTGAAACCCAGAGCCGGTTTGGACGACACGCAGAAGAGAAAATTTTTTACCCTACCGGGACTCGAACTCCGACCTCTCGGTCGTCCAGCCCGTAGCCATTTGCTATGGCGACTGCGCTATCCCGGCGTTCCACATCTGAATTTTATTTAATTATAATATAATTAATGTTACACCGAAATGTTTTATTACCTGTCGCATTTGAGGTTATTTCAACGGGGAAGAGGTGTGAGAGTACGATCTTCCGGCATGTAATGCCGTGAAGTTTACGTAGCTCACTCTTCGACTTTGAAGATGGAGGCATTTGGTACTTTCGAAACGTAGGCGGATTTCTATCGAACTACGCGGCATTAGAACCAAACGACAGTACTCTTCTTCTGTTCTCGATCACGCGGAAAGAAATGCTTCAGTTGTTTCGGCAACAGATTTCAAATTAAGAACACCACAAAATAAATTCTCTTTCAATGTACAGCGCACGTGTTTCAGCCTTGGTGTATTTGTTGAGCAAGAGGTGGAAAGACGCACTTGTAGTAAAGGCATTTATCAATGATTTTTAATGAAATCAACGGTTTCAAGCTGTTCGTAAGAGAAGCTATTATTCACGGATTGGAAATCAGGGGGCATTAAAAGGGTAAAAGTGCCAGAATTGTTACTCTATGCGAACATTCCCTAACGTGTTTTCCTCTTGCGGTAAGGGTAGCAAAGCATTAAACTGACGCGGCTGTACACTACCACCTCCAATCCTTAAGTGTCCCATCCATCCCGCAAGGAAACAAGATCACGTACCTCTGAGTATCCTCGTCGGCAGCCAGTATATCCTCCGGCTCGGTGGCCTCAGGCGGAGGCGGCAACGTCTCGTCATCTCCGTCCCCATGGGGAGGAGCGGCAGCCCCTGAGATTACTTCTTCAATATCAGAGTCGATGCCTTGAGCGAAATCCATGTAGAAGGAGTCGCGCGAGTCGCTAGATCGCCGCCGCAGCTTGAGGCTCAGGTCGGGCGAGCTGTCCTCCATCGCCCATCACAACGTGTCCTGCAACATGACGTATGTATTATACAGCGCATCAACACGTGTCCTGCAACATGACGCAGTGTCATGTAACGAATCACATAATATGTTCTGCAACGCATTACAGCGTGTTCTGCAGCATGACGCATGTTATGTAGCGCATCAACACGTGTCCTGCAACATGACGCAGTGTCATGTAACGAATCACATAATATGTTCTGCAACGCATTACAGCGTGTTCTGCAGCATGACGCATGTTATGTAGCGCATCAACACGTGTCCTGCAACATGACGCAGTGTCATGTAACGAATCACATAATATGTTCTGCAACGCATTACAGCGTGTTCTGCAGCATGACGCATGTTATGTAGCGCATCAACACGTGTCCTGCAACATGACGCAGTGTCATGTAACGAATCACATAATATGTTCTGCAACGCATTACAGCGTGTTCTGCAGCATGACGCATGTTATGTAGCGCATCAACACGTGTCCTGCAACATGACGCAGTGTCATGTAACGAATCACATAATATGTTCTGCAACGCATTACAGCGTGTTCTGCAGCATGACGCATGTTATGTAGCGCATCAACACGTGTCCTGCAACATGACGCAGTGTCATGTAACGAATCACATAATATGTTCTGCAACGCATTACAGCGTGTTCTGCAGCATGACGCATGTTATGTAGCGCATCAACACGTGTCCTGCAACATGACGCAGTGTCATGTAACGAATCACATAATATGTTCTGCAACGCATTACAGCGTGTTCTGCAGCATGACGCATGTTATGTAGCGCATCAACACGTGTCCTGCAACATGACGCAGTGTCATGTAACGAATCACATAATATGTTCTGCAACGCATTACAGCGTGTTCTGCAGCATGACGCATGTTATGTAGCGCATCAACACGTGTCCTGCAACATGACGCAGTGTCATGTAACGAATCACATAATATGTTCTGCAACGCATTACAGCGTGTTCTGCAGCATGACGCATGTTATGTAGCGCATCAACACGTGTCCTGCAACATGACGCAGTGTCATGTAACGAATCACATAATATGTTCTGCAACGCATTACAGCGTGTTCTGCAGCATGACGCATGTTATGTAGCGCATCAACACGTGTCCTGCAACATGACGCAGTGTCATGTAACGAATCACATAATATGTTCTGCAACGCATTACAGCGTGTTCTGCAGCATGACGCATGTTATGTAGCGCATCAACACGTGTCCTGCAACATGACGCAGTGTCATGTAACGAATCACATAATATGTTCTGCAACGCATTACAGCGTGTTCTGCAGCATGACGCATGTTATGTAGCGCATCAACACGTGTCCTGCAACATGACGCAGTGTCATGTAACGAATCACATAATATGTTCTGCAACGCATTACAGCGTGTTCTGCAGCATGACGCATGTTATGTAGCGCATCAACACGTGTCCTGCAACATGACGCATGTGTCATGTAGCGCATCAACACGTGTACTGCAACACGACGCACGTGTCACGTAGTGCATCAACACGTGTCCTGCAACATGACGCGTGTTATGTAGCGCATCAACACATGTACTGCAACACGACGCACGTGTTATGTAGCGCGTCAAAAGGTGTCCTGCAACACATTACAGCGTGTTCTGCAACATGACGCATGTTATGTAACATATCACTACGTTTTCTGCAATATGATCCATGTGTTATGTAGCGCATCAAGACGTGTCCTGCAACACGACGCACGTGTTATATAACGCATCACCATATCCTGAAAAATTATGTACGTTATGTAAGACATCACCATGTGTCATGTAACATAATATATGTGTTATATAACACACGTCTCTCGCAACGCTATGCACGTGTTACGTAACACATCGCCACGTGTCCTACCAAAATGTTCGTGTTAATAACACATCACCGCGTGTCATGGAACACAACGTGTAGTCACGGTACAGAATAAAAATATTCGAATAAGTTTAACTTTCAAGTATTCTGTCTTCTGGGGTATAACGTCGTGAAGTCCGGTGAAAACCAACGTTTCGAAATAAAATATTGCCGCCATCTACAGAGTAGAAGAGTAGGCCAAGCAAGGCACCAGCATGAAGGAGGCAGGGCACTAATCTATCGCCATCAGAACTTCTCTTCATGATTTTGAATGGCAGAAGTTCATGGTGGCTGGACTAATCACTGTATCGCTTGTGATATTTCACACTTTGAACACTTACGTCTTTTTTTGTATTATGGGTTATTTAAGATAAGTCTGTGATTACATAAAATACTGGAGAATATAAGAAGCAAACTTAAGGTATCATAATGTATTTTGTATGTCTGTCCTTTTTGAAGTTTTGAGCCCGTTGACAAAACTTTACAAAACGTGGTATGGATATTATGCCATTTCCATGTCGTAATTTTTAATTTAATACAATTAGTAACATAGAGCCGGAATATCGCAGTCGGCATAGCGACTGGCTACGGGCTGGAAGACCAAGGGGTCGGAGTTCGAGTCTCGGTGGAGGAAAGAATTTTTACTTCTCCATGTCGTCCAGACCGGCTATGGGACCCACCCAGCCTCCTATCTAATGGGTACCGGGAGGGATCTTTCCACAGTGGGTAAAGTGGCCGGGGGGTGAAGCTGACTGCTCACTTCCAAACAAGTGCTGAGGTCAAGAAAATCTGGATCTATACATCCATTCCCCCATACGTCTTCATAGCGTAGTGTTTAATTAGTTAAGTACAGGGGTAAATTTACATTTTACAATTAGTTATATCAATAGACCTTCGACAAATACGATACTGTAGCTACTCTTTCTGGAGAATATACAACTATACGGAGCCCTATAGCTTTTCTTTAGTTTACAGTTTGATGGAGATAACTATACGGAATTTGGTAAGCCGACGAATTGTGAATATACTCACATGCTATCTTATAAGCATGGTGACGTTGCGAAAGTTTGAGGTAGTATTCGTTAAAACAAACGTGGACAGAATACAGGTCTATTTCAGTAATAAGGAAAACGTGAAAAAACATTACAATAAAAAAGTTAAAACTATCCCTGTAACAGGCTGCGGAGGCCCATAGAGTCGTGAGACGTCGAGGCTCCTACATTTTTGTAGCCAATCGGTTCAGAGATGGCGGTGAGGTTGTCAGCCTTATGCGCCGTCCGCTCTTTACCCCCCGGAAGATTCCTGGTACTCATTTCTGTCAGAGGCTGAGTCGACCCCAGGGCTATAGTGCGGCTGGAAGGATTAGTTAAGTTGAAAAAATCAAATTACCTCATCGGGAATCGAGCTCGCGACCTTCTGGCTTGTAGCATAGTGCCCCCACCAACCTCCTTAGTGGTTTCTAACAGAGATATGTATTTATATTCTCCCCAAATAAATTAACACCATCAGCGTGTATCAGAAGCTGATGTGTCCCATTCAATTCTAATCCTTCCTGGTTCTGCTGGACTTGCCCATTAGCACCGGAATCATTAAAGTGGATCAGATTCCAATGCGCCAGGCTGACATGGTCCCGCTCCATTAGCTCTACACATTACTGCATTAAGGGGCATGAGGTGCACGGGGGCGCGGAGGGATACGCTTCTAGCACTAAAAGCGCTCATGTAGGAGATTTGAATGTGGTCCAAGAGAAAAGTAAGTACTCCGTGAAGTTCGCCAATTGCTGCCTGCATTACATGACACAGTCGTCACAAACAAGGGCAATGCCAGACGAGGGTGGCAAGACAGGCATCTGCCCCTTCCCCTGGATTTTTGAAATATAAAATACTTTAAGAAAAAAAGGGAATATATAAACATTAATACGGTAATTATAATAAAAATACTGTATTTTTCTATCGTGGGTATTTTAACACAATCAGCAGAAGCAGTCTTAAACGAGTTAAATGTAAGTTTGTAAGGAAATTCAGTTCCTTGACTGATCTCTTGTGTGCCAGCAAGTGGAACTGTGAACTACCGAACAGAAAAGTTGATAACAGCCCATAGGAGACTACAGGTCCAACATCAGTCAAAGCGGATAAACACTACTTCCTTAAACAGCACTTACGGCTTCCTTGTAATGGAGGGAATGTGTGTTTGCTGTATGCAGTCTCTGGGATGTGACGCCGTAGAATCTGATAGAATATTGCTGATATTTCGAAGGAACATACCTCCTCCATTTTCTATACTGAAGATGGATGCAGTACGCTTATCCGAAACACCAACACACTTCTACCAAACTATACGGTGTCAGGTTCCGGATACAGTGACTGCAGTGATCCAGCACTGCCTCCAATGTTTGCCGCAAAAATCATACGAAAGGCTTGAATCCGCTCTGAGAGCAAAGTGCTACCACGCTTAGGGCTAGAAGACCGTTGAAGGGCGTTCGTCTTACTGCAGAGGCACACATATTCTGCACGGCGTCCAGAATCCTTCTGTGGCCCATCACCTTTTAATTCAATGGATCCCATGGGACCCACTGAATGGGGCAGGGGCGTGAAGCTAACCACTCATCTCAATCTACTGCCGAGGTTAAGAATATTTGGAGCCATAATTCCAATCCCTCATACGTCTTTATGACGCATTAAAAGAATATAGACAAGTTTACCTTTATACCAGTGTAAGATCTCATACACTCTTGCCTATTCAAACCTGCTCTGAAGTTCACCCCACTATATTCTGGGCCCTGAATGATACTTTTTATGGTTTTCCTCAGTCCTTCCGTGCAAAAGCTCGGATATTACGTATCTCAAATTGACCACGATCACATCCTTTTGTAATCTACGAAGCTCCTTAGTGCACTAAACATGAAATCATTCGATGCCATGTAATCCGAGGGCTGACATCGTTCTTAAAGCACAAAATAAAGAAAATGCTCACAATTTCGCAATCTACTCCTCTGAGAAACATTATAATATTACCGTTCCATCTATGCCTAGATTTTCCAGACGAATTTCCGCTCCGTTCAGGACTTCCAGTACACAACATAATGTACTTATTTTCTGTTTTCCCACATGTGCTACAAATCCTGCCCACCCAATTACATCCCTGATGACAGAACAGCCCAACAGTAGAATCATTCAACTCACCTGCGACACCGACGGGCTACTGGACTAGCTGTCCGGCCGGGCGGCAAGCACCATGGTGCACTTCAGCGCGACAACTGACTAGCGCGAGGCGTGTGAGGGTGAGAATTGGGGGAGCCACCACGTCAGCACACCCTGCCGGCAGCTGCTCAAACTACAGATAGGCGAACCACGTTCCGGCCGTCTACATCGTCTTCTGACAAACCATTATATTTAATTACTTATTGTTTGTTTAACGACGCTAGCAGTAGTTCAAACTATGCCTGCATAATGGTAGAATGATTAGTGAACTGGAAAAGACGCCGAAGGAACCGGTCGTGTCTAAATCTGCAAGGGCCTGACGTCATCTAGTACAATACACGTTAGTACAGAGGCAACGCTTTAGGTTTATATGCATGAGGTGCCCAGTTCAAATACAGAGCGAAATAATTTGTCATGAATTTCTTTGTTTTTCCTCAGTCCCTTCAGATAAATGCAGCAATACTACTTCAATTTTACCAAGACCTTTTCCTTCCAAATCCTTTCCGATTTATCCTACTACCCAACGCTCTACACTCGCATTACTGAAAACGTCGTTAATAAATCAAGAAAAATCTACAAAAAAAGTCAGTGAAAAAGGTAAATTTCCGGGGAGAGAATCGAAGCAGGGTCCCCGCAGTACGAAGCATGAGTTCTACACGCTTGATGGCGGACCGGCTACTCAGGGAACGGATGACCACAGGCGCTGCCCCGACCGGGAGTACCCGGATCGTCAACCTGACAGACCAATCACCATACACGTACTCTGCTCCCGAACAGAATGCCTGCAGCTCTACCACCAGTCCCCCTATACGCTTTACGGCGTGATACTTAATCAGTAGGACAGTTCTAAAGTAAAATTAAAATTTTTAAATGCGCATAGTGGTGGGTGGAGTCCAGCTGGGTCCACTGGGAACGTCGGCCACTGAATGGCCTAGTGTACCTGCCCCGGGTGCTTATGATGATGGAGAATTTGGTGGAATGAAGATTGTCAGGGGAAACCGAAGTACTCGGAGAAAATCTACTCCAGCGCCACTTTTTCCACCACAAATCCCACTTGACCAGACCCGGACTCGAACACGGGCCGCCACGGTGGGAAGCCAGGGACCACCCGCTTGAGCTATGGCGCGGCCGAGTTCTAAACTAACTATATTATTCTGTACTGATTTGGAACTTGAGCTCTCTGTGTAAGACGAGAACACAGACTGTTTTTTTTTCACAGCGGACGTTAAAACAGAAAATCTGGATTCAAGAGAGATGAAATAACAAAGTAGTGGAGAATTACATAATGAGCAGCTCCAAAACTTCCACTGTTGATAAAATAAGCCATATTTCCTAGGTCACTCGTGGGATTAACTGGACATACAGAACGAGTGGGATAAAAGGCAAATGCATGCAAATGCCTGGATGATAACGGATATGAAAGTGCCGATTGCATTAATCTGGCTCAGGCGGCAAAACGTTTACTCACGCAAAAGCAAAAGCAGGCATTCACACGGCTCCCAGGTCATGAGATGGAAAAATACGGTCACGATTCCGGCGGAACTCGGAACCAAGAATTACTATTCTGGCGAGGACCAGCAAAAATTTACCCGACCCGATAATTTTCTTCTTTTCCGCCCCGGGAGCAAACGGAGACAGAATAAGATAACTGAACTTAACGCGAAATGAGCGAAGCGAGAAACAACATTTGCGGCTTTTATGGCGGCGAACAACCACGTCGTGACCTTCCGGTTAATGACACAGTGCAGTCTGATAGCTGGATATCAACCTTCCGGAGGAAAACACTACCGCCTTCTTCAATGTGCTGGAAGGCCGTGCCATTGCTCAGGCGATTAGTCGCCGGCTTCCGGCCGCGGCGTCCCGGGTTCGATCCCAGGTCAGATCATGTGGGATTTGTGGTGTATAAAGTGACACTGGGGCAGGTTTTCTCCTGCCAATTCTCATTCTACCAACTTCTCCAGATCCATCATCATCCGGGGCTAGTATAATAGGCCAAACAGTAGCCGACTAACAAGTGGACCCAGCCTCACCCCACCCCACCCCACCCCACGAAAAAAGAAAAAAAAATATATATATACATAAAGAGGTAATGGAAACGACAATACGAAACTTCACTGTTATGAGAATTTCAAATCTACAGAAATGAATACCAGGAACATTCCTGGAGGTAAAGGACGGCCGGCGCGTAAGGCTGAAAACCTCATAGTCATCTATGAGCCAATTGTCTAGATTGACGATGTCTCATCCATATGGGCCTCCACGGCCTGTTACAGGGATAGCTTTACCTTAACAAAGAATATTCTTGAAGCCATATACCGTTCTTGGCCGTGGAACGCTTGGGCCAGGATAGGGACGTTGGATGGACGAATACTGTCTGATCCTCACCTGAGGGGGGGGGTACGGGTTATACCTCCTCCTCCACATTATTTATGGCTTCTATACTATACAAAATCTAGATCTGTTTACTCTTCATAATTCGTCTCAATTAATTTGCATATCTGATGATGGTCGCACGAAGACCGAAACATTTCGTATCAAAACACGCGAACCCTTCATCTACCAACAGTCAGATCGACACAGCAGAGCTCAACCTGCTCGACACCTACAAAAAAAAAATATATAAAAAAATATGATAATTAGACAGCAACTGATAACATAGCATTATCCCCGTAATCAACCAAGCTGCAGTTACTAGGGCACTATAAAAATTTAAACATATTAGTTTTAATTTTTTTACGGGATATTTATGACTCAGATATTTAAAATCTGATATTTTTATATACATTGTGACATGTCAGCTCAAACCCAGAAGTGTGGAGCCCGAGAAGATGTCCGTTGCTAGGCAATGGCGCAGCAACATATATATACCAATAGAGGATAAGTTGGTGGCGGTGTTTTCTCTGGGGGTCCGTGCCGAGGCTATATACCGGAAGCGAAACCGAGTCGGAAGCACCATGCCGTTATAGCGGAAGCTAATAGAAATAGGGCAAAATCTGCTATACTGTGCCTGGATTGACAGAGGCCCTGTATATATTGTATATACATATTTAACACGTTTAACATGTAAAATGTAAACATCTTTTACATTATGACAAACGACTTACTACCGGAGACAATGACTCTGACAAAAGACAGACCCATCCTCTAGTCAGAGAGGGCGCCCCACAATAACAGACCGTAACTGTCAAACAGTAATAAATATCTGGTCATGAGAGACTGAATGACTGACCGTCAGTCACAATTTGAAACACCCCACATCAAGAAACCCACAACTGTCTGACAGTAATAAAAATCTGGTCGTAAGCCCAAGATGGATGCTTTATTCCAAGATAAACTGGCCGACTCACCGTCGGTCGTAACATAAGACTCAGACTCAGTCGGAACCGAGCGCTAGCCTGCGATAGGGAGTGATATCCAGTGGCGGCCAGACGCGGCTAGGAGTCAATGGCCAGAAATGGTAGCCATTGGGAGCTATGAGACAGACAGTAGCCGGTAAGGAAGTGAACACGGAAGCTGAGGAATCTACGGTACTGGCAGCCGTTACCTAGCAACTACAGGTGAAGACACAGCAGACTGAGAATCAGTGTTACTGTAGTGAATTGTAGAGTGTGTGAATTGGCGATGGTGCTGTAATTAATTGTATTTAAGGACTGCAAAAACCCTCAAAATAAAGCCTCCGCGCGTACCGCACAGAAAACACCGCTTCCAACAGTTACTACATTGTCGCGTGTTGCACAGCCGTTGCCTAGCAATGGCCGTTTCTCTGGCTTCACAGTTCTTGCTTTGAGTAAATATGCCACATCAATTTAATTTCCTGAATCTGTGACCAGCCAAAAGTCGGGTAGCGACGAAGCTCTCAAATTAAATACCGAGGATATGATATGGTGCTGCCTGGTCACAGTTATCGCAGATCAGGGGGAGGCGGTTCTAGAACATCCACATCTTCATTTATTAAACGATGATTTATCAATTGTATATAACCTATAATACAGAGCTGAATGAGTGACGCTCTCGCATTGCGTAATCTTATTGTCATTTGGGACAGGTTTGTCTCACTGTTAGTACCCAATAATGATTATGTCTGTCTGCGTCACAGTAAGGTGTATTTAGAAAACGAACTTCTTTTCTTCTCTACTCTACATTTAGCTAGACTCACCAGGCCGTGACATAGCTCAGGTGGTAGGTCGTCGGATTCCCACCGCGGCGGCCCGGGTTCCATCCCAAGTCAGGTTACGTGGTATTTTTGAGTGAGTGTTTTTGACATCCAGATGCCATCCCGAATATCCTGTACAGATATGTTACTGTATTCCTTCACACTGCTTCGCGGAAGAACTATTTCATTTGCTCTACACCGCCCGTCGGCAGACCGCCACTGGGTCTCCAGTAGGCAGCCTTTCACCGCCATGGAGCAATGCTTGTAGACGGGACTACGATTAGCAGAATCCTTTAATTCTAGACTCTCTAGCGCATCCAGGGTGTCGTCAAACGTTGATAGAGGAAAATAGTCCTCGTAATGTCCTTCAGCCGTCGGAAGTCCATATAGTGGAAAATCTATTCGTCTTCCTGACGAACCCAATGGGTGAAGACCAAGGAATCCCTAACTCCCTTATCACCACTCATTCATTTATATCCCTCAGCATCTTCTCCTCAGGTTGCTTGGCCACAGGAAGCTTATGAAGGGGCTGGTGGATTGGACGCCGTTTCTAGACCAGACTAATATACATTCACGCAAACTGTTCTGGATGCTTTTATTAACGCGGTCACACTCCGGGAAGATTCCAGAAGATTCTAGTGAAACATCGGTCGTCATCGATAGTTGACGGCTGCAGAACGAATAACAAGCGGGATCTCGGTCTCTCCGTCAAAGAGAGGCGCGAGAAAGCCACGTGACGCGCCCCACCATGCTCAGCTCTCACATGATTTTAATTGCGATTCAAGCGGTCGTGCCCAACCTCGAAGTACCGTATTATCCTAGTATTATTAAATCCACGATTTACCTTAGGATATCCGATTTTTTGGACCGACGTTCGACCACGGCGCCATAGAAATACAAACCGATATGTCTGTGTGGGAAAATGCATGCGCATGGGATTGCTATCCTGAATAATTCATAAAATCTGTTAAACTTCACTAATCAGTTAACTGACTGACTGAAAAGCTAATATTCGCCAAGCTACTCTAAGTATTCCCCATACTTTAGAGAAACAGAATGCTCATTACAACACTCACAACAGACAGCCACCAAACACTATCCTAAAACACACGGATCCAGTCCCCATCCTGCCATTCCATTTATTAAAGATCCATTTTAATATTATATTACCCTTATAGTTAGTTCTTCTGAGTGTTCCCTTTCATTCAGACATTCCGACCAAATCTTTGTATGCATTTCTCTTTAGCCACGCATGCTACACCCCTCGCTATGTGTGCTACGGAAGTTAACCAGAACATTTGCTTACAAACGTACACTTAATTCGTTTAAGACTACATTTACTAATAGCCCTAGAGTATTCAGCATAGCAGAAAACACTTTTCAGAAAAAACTTGAATATCTGCTAGTAATGCTTAGTTATGTTCCCAATACACTTTTGATTCTTTTGCAAAAATTCAGGAGAGGGCAGATGCCCGCGTCAGTCCAACCTGGCCATATAATCATCTTTGATTTCATTATGCCAATAACACAGGTATCTGGCGAGGGGTGCAAAAAAAGTGTGAAGCACCTCATCAAGTGGTTCTCTCCAGCCTCTTCCCGCCTCTGAACGCTGCAATTCAGTCAGTAAATGGGCAGAAACCACTGATTTTTTTCCCTGAAATGTATATTTATAATGAAGGTCATCGGAATGAAATTTTTTTGTCACCTTCTTACAGCAGGCTGGACACTTCTATTGTGTCCAGCACACTCAGACCACTGCCGCAGCTTTTTCCCTAAGGATAAAACCGGCATGGAAATTGACCTCACAACTGTGCTGACATTAAGAAATTCACCTTTTAAGATGAGGTGCTTTGATATAGTGACAGATTAATTTAATTTATTCCTTCACATGATACACACCTGAAGGGAAGAATCGCTTAGGATATCTGGGCATATATGGTAAACTATTATTAAAATGGGTCTCGAATTTGATGGTTTGAAATGGATTCATTTGGTGTAGCCTACGTGCCAGTGGCAGGGTTTTGTGACCACAATAATGTATCTTCTGTGGTAAAAAGGTAAACCTATCCTTGTAAGGGGCCATGCAGGTTCTTGGGGTTCTGAGATGTTGAGGCTCCACATTTTCTAGACAATCCACTCACAGATGGAGGTGAGGTAGTCAGCCTTATGCACCCGCCACCCTTTACCCTCAGGAAGATTCCTGGTACTCATTTCTGTTAGAGGCTGAGACCACCCCAGGGACATAGTGCGGCCGGAAGGATTAGATCAACTGAAAAACCCAATGACCTCATCTGGAATCAAACCTGCGACCTGATTTGTAGCATAGTGCCTCAACAAACTATGCTACCACACGACCCACATTATGTGATGGGGGTTGTAAGAATTTAAGCATTAAAAAACCTGTTCTATAGCCATATTAACAACAAACTTTAAAGTATATTTGACTGATCCTCACATATAAACTACTGTATAAACAAATACAGGGATAAAACATTCACAGCAATTCAATTAACTTTACTAGTTCAAACAATTATAATTTCATAGCTTCACATAATAAGGGAAATTTTCATAGGTTTCATGTCTGAATGACTGTCTTGTTTCATGTAGTAAAGTGTGCTACAGAGGTTCACAGTTTAATGGCTTGCTCTACAGATGGGGGAAAGGTGGCATCATGAAATATTCAAGTTGTACAAATACCTTCTCACACACCTTCAACATGAAACATTTATCTACAGTGTAAATGCATTTGTGTTGAATAAGGTTAGCTCCTTGTGTGAAACTGATACACTTTACATGTGAACAGTTTATAATCTGTGTTAATTTAAAGCTAAAGAGTGAAACCAATATTCCCTATCTTTTCCAACACATGTACTTTCATGACTGTGTACATTTTAGTGTTATATAACATATTAATGGAAGTTGTTAAGAAATCAAAGCCTAAACAATCTTTGACAACATATTTTGTGTAATTATATAAAGCCATACATATCCATTAGCAGAAAAACATTTACAATTCAGCATTAAATGTTATTTCTGAGACCTCAGAACCCAACCAGCTGACACCAACAGGACATCCAACTGGTTGAGAAATAGTGCATTAAAGGAGATTTGTGCCAATCTCTACACACATACGTAATATTAAAGCAAATTTTTGTGTGAAAAATTTTCCAAATGATTTTCAACCAACTGGCATGTCTTTCCATGAATGCGAATATGTCTTGCAAGACTTCCACGCTGAGTGAAACTTCTGTTACACACATCACACATAAAAGGCATATCTCCTACATGGATACGTGTGTGTTGAACCAGACCTTCCCGGAATGTGAACTTTTTTGCACATAAATTGCATGTAAAAGGTTTAATCCCTGTGTGAATGCGCATGTGTTTCAACAGATCTGACCTATCAGTGAAACTTCTCATACATGTTTCACATGTGTATGGCTTATCTTCTGTATGGATCCGAGTATGCCTTACAAGGCTTCCACTAAAAGAAAAACACCTGTTGCACACTTTGCATATGAAAGGTTGGTCCCCAGTATGAATTCGAGAGTGTTTTTCAAGGTTTCCACGTTGAGTGAACCTCTTCCCACACATTTCACACACAAAAGGTTTCTCTCCTGTGTGTATAAGAGCATGATTCACAAGACTTTGCCGAAAAGTAAAACTTCTACAGCACACTTCACACGTGAAGGGTTTATCTCCTGTGTGTATGCGAGTGTGTTTCATCATATCTCCACGGTGGGAGAAACTTTTATTACAGACATCACAACTGAAAGGCTTCTCTCCTGTATGAGTGAGCGAATGTCTCCGAAGCCCTCCAATATCCACAAAACTCTTCATACAAATCTGACAACTTACGGGTTTCTCACCTGTGTGCATGAAAGAATGTCTCGTAAGATGAGTTTTCTGAGTGAAGCTTTTGTTGCAGATTTCACATCTGAATGGTTTTTCTCCACTGTGAGTTAAGGCATGTTGCCAGAGATTGCGACGCTCTTTAAAGCTTTTCTTGCATACTTCACATCTGAACGGCTTGGGAGTGTCAATATTTTCCAATAAATGTCCATAATCAGAGAAGCCTGTGTGGTATACTCCATACTGCAGAGGCACTGTCACAACCGCTGAACTACGTGCATCAATATTCTGGTTACGTTCTTGACTATTACTGTGGGTCATGCTGAGGAGGAAAACAAAATTTGATGAAAGGAAGAAGCAAGTACTGGTATAAGCTCTCTCTCCCATACTGCAAGAAAGGGCCAGTAAATAATAACATAGTCATATTGTGAGTTCAAAAATATTCAGGAACTGAGAACAGGTGTAAGGAGACTAATGTTGGGAATAAACTCAGCTATATGAGAGCAGGGAAGGAGTTCTCACTGGCTCTTTGCTTGCAGATTTTCTTATTTTTCCTTCTACCCTGAAGATGGAGGCGATATGTTCCTCCGAAACGTCGGTTAACACCACAGCTACAAGGTGCCACATCCCAGAAGACTGTCTTCTACCATCACCATGTTCAATTCATCTCTTAGACTATGCTGGACAGACAGCAGACTAAGAATATCAGTGAAACATTAAATACAGTAATATTACAACTACAAGAAAATTTCAACTTCCTGTGAAGAGCAGTCTAACAATAAGATTGTGTGTAAAAATATAAGTCACATGAAAATGATTACATAATTTCTGATGTGTTGTAAAAATATAAAACAAAATATCTATAAATATAAGTGTTCCTTTGTTATTCATTCATCTTGTTCCTTTCATTAACAAAGAACACTGGGGAACTGATCATTGATGCTGTCTATTCTGCTATTCAACTTAAATCAAAATCAGCAGTGTTGTATTAGGCAAATTCTAAAGTGTAATTCATGTTTGAAGGGCAATGTGTGGGATTATTATAATGAAACTGGATAATTATTTTTGTGTCCCAAATATCTCTGTATGAAAAATGAGTACATGCATAAATTTCTTTCACCTAACCTTAAAAAATATGACATAATAATATGTCATTCAGTTTTGGGCCAGTAATATAATTTCATTCACTTTACATGAACGTAGATGTGGCAGGATAAGAAATTATGAGAAAGGTAGCAGTCATGACTTTCTAAAAGGAATTACCCCAGCATTCACCTCCAGACTTCAGTTACGATACTTGGTGCACAAATGATACGTCAATCAGGTATCTGAGAAATGTGAACAATGACTGCCAACATCACATGAATATTAACACACTGTCAACATACTCCCTTAGAACAGTCACAAAATAAACTGGGTATATAATGACTGTGGTTTTCTGGATTATGAGTTCATGGTTTCAAAGCCTCCATATCCTATCCTGAAGATTGAAGCAGTATGTTCTTCCAAAACATTATTAACCATTTTCTGCACTATGTGGCATTACATCTAGCAAGACCATAGTCTCAACATTCATCCCCATAAAATCCTCAAATCTCAAATGGGTTCGCTCTTTTGGAAAACTCAGATGCTGATGTTGGTATTAACAGTGCTTGGGAAACAATTAGACAGAATTTCAAAATTTCAGCCAAAGAGAGTCTAGGTTACTCTGAACTGAAGCAGCATATGCCATGGGTTGATGAAGGGTGTTCAAAATTATTAGATCAAAGAAAGCAGGCCAAATTGCAATGGTTACAGGATCAAACCGAGTTAAATGGGGACAATCTGAACAATGTAAGATGTGAAACCAGCAGGCATTTCAGGAATAATAAGAGGGAATATCTGAAAGACAAAATTAATGAACTTGCAATAAACAGTAAGAACAAGAACATTAGAGACCTGTATAGAGCAATAAATGAATTTAAGAAGCATTACCAACCTAAAAATAACTTGGTGATAGAGATATTTTGTATTTCATGACAAAATAATCATACTATATTTTCGTTTGTAAAAATTGCTCTTTTGTGTATATGTAGAAAATTTTATTGTTTTTCAGGCTGTTTTAGTTCATATTTCTATATGGCATAAAATGGAAAATATGTAGTTTTTTCTGAAAGTCTGCAACTTTAAAGACATAGGGCCATTTAAATTCTGGCCACACCAAGCTCTCAACAATTTAAAAGTCCATACTTTAAAGGTTAACACTGAGGCTATATCTTTGGCTATGGTAGTTTTAATGCAAGTTCACCAAAGCGATCTAGTCTGCTTGTGGCATGCAGAAGGTTAAAATCAGCTGAACCTGGAAACAATACACTACCTGTCTATATACATTTTCTCCTCCTCTGTAATTTCATCCTTAAATTCTTCCTTGATTGTAGTGACATCACATGAACTTTCCTAGAACAAAGATACACCACATTATTAACTCTGTAGCTATTCAAACATGCAGAAGTAGCTAGGATGAATGTTATCTTCCCAGCTACATGAGAATATTATGAACAGTAGAGTAACATGTAGTTTATGTAGGCACTGCTTGCCACCTGCTTTCACAATGGTTTCTTACTTGGCTTATTCTTCAACCCTGAAGATGGAGGTGACATGTTCCTCCAAAACAGTGGTTGACTTTTAATGAACTACATGGTATTATATCTCGGAAGATGGAACTCTTCCAACATGTAGTTTACTTTCAAGAAGTGCAGATCCAGACCAGACTGCAGCACATATGCCAATCTGACATTTCAGTGGCTTAAGTATTCAATAGCCATATTTCCAGAACCATGTCCTAACTTACTGTGACATGTAGACCCACTGCCAAGTAACAGCTGTGTGAACAGGTGACAGTACAACAGCCCTTGCTAGGGAACAGCTCTGTGGACATGTTGTTTCCCTGGCAATGAGAGAAGATACATTTTCTGTGCTGTCTGTGCCAGGAACATATGACGAGGACTAGTAATTTAGCTGTTGGTTGAGTCAGTTGAGAGTTGCAATTGTGAATAGCGAGAAGCTGGTAGCTGAGGTCAGGGAGAGTTCAAGAACCCAGAGGCAGGGGAATGTCTGCTGTTGGAAGCCACTACCATAGAATGGCTAATGAAGACTGAAAAGACTTTATGTGTGCAGTAGTTACAGTGTTCTTTGAAGTGTGTAATTCAGTGAGACTGTCGTAGTTATTTATAATTGTGTTTTGTAAGTGTCCAATGAATATGATTACCAATCCAAACCTCACCTCTAGTCACACTTACCATGCGACATTCTATTTATGCTTCACACGTACTCTTAAAGAATATCAAATGAGGCTCACAGTCACTGGCAAAGACAGTAACCCCAACTAAACTGAGAGAGCAAAGTTTTCCTTCAGAAACTAATAGATGATCAGCTAATCAGGAAATTCCCAGTCTCCTACAGAACCTGCAGGTCCATCACTCTGTTCATATGAGCCTGCTACTAGTCCTCATCCTGAGCTAGATGAATTCAATCATGCTCCCTCATCCTATCTAGTTCTATCTTCCCATCTATGCCTATCTTGTCTTAGTGGTCTCCATTCACCAGGTTTTCCTAGCAGAACCCTGAATGCAATATTTTTCTCTCCCATGTGTGGTACATGACCCGGACATCTCATCCTCCTTGATATGATCATTCTAGTAGCATCTGACATGGAATAAAGTTATGAAGCTCCTCATTACACAATTTTTTCTAACATTCTCCTCAGCACCGTGTTCTCAAACATCCTTAGTCTACATTCCTCCCTTAACAGCAGAGACAAAGTTACATGCCCAAACAGAACCACAGGCAAAATAAATGTTTTGTCTATTTAAATCTTCACATTTTTGGATAAAAAAAAAAGGTATCTTTGTAACAGGCCATGAAAGCCCATTGGGTTGTGAGAAGTCAAGGTTCCGACATCCTCTAGACAATTGGCTCACAGATAGCGGTAAAGGTTTCAGTCTTATGTGCCGGCCACCGTTTTACCCCCCATGAAGATTCCTGGTACTCATTTCTGTTAGAGGGTGAGTCGACCCCTGGGCCACAGTGCTGCTGGAAGGGTTGGGTCAACTGAAAAATTCAATGACCTCATCAGGATTTGAATCCACGACCTTCTGGCTTGTAGCATAGTGCCTCAACCAACTACGCTTCCGTGTGCCCCTACATTTTGGATGCCAGTTGAGAAGGCAAAAGATTCTAAACTGAATAGTTAGTAGTATGGATCTGTTTTCATCTCTTTCTGTAACTACCAAACATGGCAAACATGTTAGTGTCTGTAATGGCAGCATGGAATGTGATGTCAGGATGTCTTGTAGTGAAATAAATAATCAGACCAAGTTAGACAATAACAATTTTACTTTTACTTGAACACTGGACACATTGGACACATTACAATTTAAACTTCACATCTACTGGCAAGCTTGTTACTTTCTATAATTATCAAATGCACTTCGCATATTGACATAATGTGAATGTTTTGCTCACACTGGTCTCATTATGCTAGTCATATCATTCAGACACAATGCAATATGTAACAGACTCCTGATTAATGAGAGGCAGATTATCTGGGAGCTGTTATCAGAAAACTGACTGTTGTGTCCAATGTCAAAAGACAACTTTCATAAGAAATTATAATACTTTTTCAAAAAGAATAAATACAAATGAAGGGAGTTTTATTGACATTTGAATAGGTACTTGGACACATAAGATGGCTTTCTTTGTTTTGTTTTTCTTTATCGTTTGTAGAAATGACAGTGCAGCACCTCAGAAACCACATTCATGTTTCTACCATTTTTAAAATTTAATTTATTCTTATATTCAAGTAGATCCAATTACAGGGCAAGAAACAAGTTCACACACCATTGGAT